CTTAACTTATTGAAATTCGATTAAAGTCACACCCATTATTTGAAGATAAGTCACGCACACATTTATAGTTAGCAAATAATTACTGGTGAGCTCGACACGAATTATCAAAATCGTATAAGCCATCGGATATACTTTAAAAGCCTGTGGGTTTACCTATGTACGTATGTATATAGTGTAAAATTATAGACACCTTTGTGTGATTACAATTTGTGTGAAAGGATTACCAGTGAAATAGCTCTACTAGTTCCACACATATACAAATACAAATAAATATATACAGATATATACAATAAGGTGTGAAAATTATTAAAAGGAAACTCAATTAAGTGAGACATTTTTGCTAAGAGCAACCAATAACATTTACATAATTAAATCTGTGTACATATATACAAACATACATACATGTGTACTTACATACACATGAACCACATAATGTGTTTATTATATGCAATAATATATTGTGATCCTTAAAGGTTATTACTAATAAACTATAATGCATTCCACGAATTTCATTCAACTTACAGCAATATGCCATAAAATATAGCAACACATTAAGCCGGCAATTTTATCGTGAATACATACACTAATATAAAGATGTGTAAAAGCCTGTAACCCTCATTCAAACCCCACATCTACTTTTCCCAATTCTTTCCATACAATAATACTGAATACCGCCCCAGCGTCATTAAGTACCATTATTGACGAAACCAGCAATTAAAGGCTTTCCGTTACACTTTTACTTGAGGCTGCTTACTTACACCGCATACATTTTCATAAGCACTCAGATTTGTGATATTTAAGATTTAATGTATAAATAAAAATAGTGATTTTAAAGAAATTCTGTGATTAATTTTGAAAAATTTTGTGTTCCCTCGAAATTTACAAAATATACTTGTTCAGTAAAAAATCTATGCACACCGTTACATTCCAAATCATAACATAAAATTTGTCAAACCCAAGTTCACAACAGCTTCATGCAGCACTAAATCAAAATTTTGCAAAACACTACTCAGAGAGCAAATATCAAGCGAAGTCAACAGAAATAAAGATAACTGAAATGTTTAATGTGCAAAAAGTAATACGTAAACGCCACTGGCGAGCAAGCAATTATAACGCCAACTTAGTATATGAGTATTTAATTAGCTTTATGAAAGCACTAAACTAAAGCCGGCTGTGCCATGCGGTGCTACAGAGCGTATCAGTGACTTTTAACGTCGACACGTGTAAACGACAAAGCAATGAGTGCTGCAAAACTAAGGTAATAAATTTGTTTTCGTAATAAGCATATGAGCGCAGGTGCTACATTACAGCGAAATGCTAACTGACAATTAAGGAACAGTTAACTCAGCATTTCTATAAGTGAGTCCTAAGTTGTAGCTGCAAATAAATGTTTGGATGTCATATACATGCATTGGAAAATATATATGTATATCTAAGTTATGTATATGCCTGAATTTTGTTTACGCATGTACTTGGCAGGTGCACATTGACTCAAATTGTATTTAACTTACAGAAATAGCAGTTCCATAAACACGCTAGTTATAGAATATTTATATGTATGCGTGTTTGTATACACATAGTTAAATTTGCTTGTATATTTTTGTTGTATTTAAGGTTTTTGAGAGCAAAATGCTTATAATCCAAATAATTTGCGAGCACAATGGCACATTAACAGTTATATTTTAACACACTTGAACTTTGAGTACATCCATTTTCTGTATAGTGTAGCTTGGTAAATACCACAGAATATGTGTTCAAATACGCAATGAGCACGTGCCTCTGGCTTTTAATAATAATTTAAATACATACAAACATGCATGGAATGTTACTGAGATATTCATATATTTAAGTAGGGTTGTATGTATGTGATTCTGGATAATATCAGCAGAGAATTTGCTCTTTCCTAGATCGTGGACAAGTTTGAAGATGAGACGCATAAGGTTCGATTAAACCTGAAATCAAAACTCTAATGATCACATCCGAGAGTACGTGGTTAAATGCCCACTTGACATCGAGGAAGGTCCTTATTGCAAACACCTTATTTCTTATGGTTTTCTCAACTCAGTAGGCAACAGTATGCAAGGTAGTTATGATGTGCCCTTGAAAGTCGATTTCTTGGAATACTATGTACCATAAGAAAGATGAAAGACTGATGGGTCTTAAATCCTTGCGATCGCTTACCAGTCTTCGGGATAAAAGCAATCTTAACCTACCTCTCAGCCCCACAAATATTCTGTATATCCCAATCTAACGCAGGTTCACATAGATGTGCACCAGCCAATTGCACAAAAGCGTGACCTCTCTTTGCAGTTGCGCTGATATAATGTCATCCAGACCAGGGGACTTAAATAGTTTGAATGAGTTGATCGCCCATTTCAGATGACGTTCATTCAGAAAGCTCGAAAAAGACATAAGAAGTATTGCTCGGAATGTGAGCGGCTAGGAGCAGCTTAAGAGTGTTCTGACTGATAATAAAAATATTACGACTACGACTACTACATATAATCGCAAGAAGAAAACTAAAACAACGATAACAATTGCAGAAATTAAAATCATAAAAATTAACATTACTATTATTGTGTAATTGTTAATTTAGAATATTACGATTGTGCAACATTTCTTAACCTTCTTGAAGGAATAACTATAATTACAGTAATCTTCATTACATACATGGTCAGTCTCAATTATTCGAATTTAAGAACTAACAATTACAATTGATCTCAATTCCTACAAAACTAGGTTAGGGAGGCTTAAGAAATATATATAATATTTTTGGCAAAGACTAGAAGCTTAGCTCAATCTTGAGTCCCTTACCACGCTTACTACTTAATATCAATATTGGAAAAAAATTTGTGGCTTTAAAGTGTAAATTGTATTTAAATTTTCACTTGCAGATATCCAAAACCAGGCACGCAAAATCCTATAGCAAAGCTACGCGTGGCCGATATACATAATCCGGAAGACATTAAAATAAGAGATCTACAACCGCCACAAGTACTACAAAATGAGTAAGTACACAAATATCTATCTATATAATGTATGTCAAGTAAATATATAAAACTAAAGTAAATAGACGTTTTTGTAAAGCTATAAATCACAGCATCTAGGTTATATTGAGGTTATGTTAACCAACATTACTTTTCTATGTTCCTTCTAATCACTTTAATTAATACAGCTTTGTAATTTTATCTGGCAACAACGACCGTTGAAAGGGGTCCATAAACTTATAAAATTTAAGAGCATTTCATATCCTAGACTTGAATAATATATATATAGCAATATAATCAACTTATCACTCAAGATTTGAGCACACCTCTGAATAACTATTGGCTCATCAAAATAAATTGCAAAGTACTTCTTCACTTAATGCATCAGTAAAACTCTCACAATTATTCATACGAACACAAAATTTCATTTATTTCGTTCTATGCTTTCAACTCAATTTGTGACTGATTCTACCGCTTAGAGATCACTACTTCAGCAGTGCCAGTTGGGTGAGTGAAACGGAAATCTGTGTAGTTTGGTTGAATCGTCCACAGAACATTTCGGTGGTCAGCATCTGTAAGAGTCCACTGTTTATATGCGTTGAGGTAAGTAGAAATGCTGTACATTAGAGTAAGACAGAAATGAAGAGAGCGAATGCTAATAATACGGTACGGGAAAGAAATATTATGATAGAAAGAAAGAGAGTGAGTGCTAAATGATACGGTCATAAGCAGAAATTACCCTCTAGGAAAATTTCGGTGAATTTTAATATAAGATAAATGTGTTATTAGGTTTTTGGACAGTTGACTCGAAAAATTTTTCTTACAAATAATTATAAAAAAGAAATTCGCTTACAAAAATCAAACTTAAATGACCCCATATGGATGACGTATTGGGTTTCGCTATAATCACATAGTGAACATATTTTTGTCCGACGATCTAAGTTCATTCCGAAGAAGAGAATAAGCTTTCAACTCGAACAGAGACTCTAAAATGAATTTATCCAAGGAAATTCCTCATCCAACAATGAAATTCAACTTAATGTGTCAGACCTTTGATAGCTTTAGGACTTTATAATTATATTCGGTGTGCTTCTTAGCTAACATCATGCTCTAAACTGAATCGCATGTCACTAATTATTGCAAAAGACTTCTAACCTATCAAAAAAAAGTATTAGAAATACTTTTAGAAGTCTTCCTTGTTCTCTAATAAGCAAGTGAAACTATTTTATCCTCTAGGGAACGATTTTGCCATAATAAGTTATTTTGAACTGTATCTTAAACAATTGTAAAAAAAGACTAATTTCTTCTGGTCCCTAGTATAAGAACTTGATTGTCATTTTAACTTATTTATTTAAATTCAAATCGAAAACTAATATTAAAACTGAAAGCGACTTTATTCTTAACTTCATCAACCTGTAATTTATGTCTCAAATTTAACAGAGAACATTATTAACACTCTTGAGGCAGATGTTACGGCGGTCTGGTACTTGGTCAGGAAACTACCAAAGACATCCCATCTTCAATTTTACTTAATCCTTTTGTTTAACCAACGTTAACCTACAAATTCACTCGACTTCCAACATAAATTCCCGATAACCTTAATAAAATCGATCAACCATCAAGCTCTTCGCTTTTCCTAGGGGGTAATCGTGCGACAGTACTTATGTAGCAGAATGTGTGCCCGTGTTAGTTTTAGTGTCACTACTTGTTAAGTGTAATTTATCAAAATATAATGCTACTGAAGTTTATCCTGGCGATTTATTTTATTTATTACTTGGAACTCGGCTGCACTTCACTCGATTATGTTTGGAAAAATAATGTTCGTGACCAACGCAGACGCATCGTGTGAGCGGCGATGGACGCGGTTGGGTGGACACAGTATCGGTGCCATTGTTTGCAGCGAATGCAACTTCCTATGTTGCCATATCGCCATTGCGTGACGGTGCTTCCGGTGAGTTTGAAAACACTGACCCTAACCAACCCACCACACACACCCACATCCGCTTTGCTTTCATAATTTTTATCATTTTTCCACGAAGTGAAAAGCAAACACAAATTTTTTGATTTATTTTCCATTCTTTAGGTTACTTCCGACATATTGTGCACGTGCATGTGGCCAAAAAACGCGTACTACCACTAACGCACGGGCAATACGAGGTGAATGAGTTGCTACATTGGGACCAGCTGAATAATTGGATGTAAGTACTCGATTACTCAATAGAATTTGTGAAATTTTACACCTACACCTTCCATTTTCTGCGCTCATACACGGGCTTTACTTTTCCCTCTCTCTCTCTCTTCTCTCTCTCTCTCCAGCTACTTCCTGGGCACACCGGAACGCATGCCGGGGCAACAGCACCTGTATCGCGTATCCGCTTTGCCACCGCGACATGGCTCCGCACATCAGCTGCCCGACTGTTTGACATGCCCGACGCAATTGCGCAACAGCTACCAAAATGCCGAGGGTCATACCAAACCGCCGCCGAAACTGGTGACCGCTTGGGATGACGACTGGGAGGACTCGGAGGAGCGTCAAACTTTACCACCACCCACGTTGACGCCGGAACATAAATACCCGAAAACGTCACACGCGCATACGGAGCCCAATGAATGTCTCTATCACACAGCCAAATTTCCGTTGGGATTGCAAGCGCGTTATGTGCTCATCGAATGCTTGGGTCCAGTGGTGCCGACGACTAGTGTTTATGCGCTCACAAGCTTCTATGCTGGCGAGCATGGTAAGAAGTTATTACCTAAGAAAAGCGAAGCTTTGGAACTGCTAGTGACTGTGCAGAATAATACGCGTTTGAAGGAGAAGATGTTGCGTACCGCGCTGCCACAGATAAAAACTTTCCCGGTTATGATTTCGGGTGGCTATCATGCGCAGGTACGTTTATATTTACCGCCGGTGCTGCGCGAAGATGAGATCACACGTTATCCGACGATACTGCACGTGTACTCGGGTCCGGGTACACAACTAGTGACGAGAAGTGGACATCGACTGGAACTACTTATTTGTCGGGAACGAAAGATTTATAGTCATTGAGATCGATGACGTGGTTCATCCGGCCAGGTTATCAGCTGTCATGAGATCTACAAGCGTCTCGGTTCGGTTGAAGTATCCGACCAGCTGGAAGTGAGTGAATATTTGCGTGATAATTTGCATTTTATCGACGGCCGTCGTATGGGTGTGTGGGTTGGAGTTATGGCGGTTATACGGCCGCTCTGGCGTTGGCGGGCACACAGTCGATCTTTCAGTGCGGCATCAGTGTGCGCCGGTGACGAATTGGAAGCTTTACGGTAAGTAGTAACGGCAAGTGAGTAATGAGGTTAAATAGTAGTTGACAAATCAAAATTATTTCTTTGGCAGAGATCACTAATATTTAAATACTGACTTCAAAGCATTTTAGTAATAACCTATAACCCACTTTTAAAAATAATAGCTATTTTTTTCAAAATTTGGGACGGACACTATTAAAGTTTAATGCTTTCTAAACTTTTCAATAAACATTTTCTATTTTTCTCACCAAAAGTTCCATACGCTGAGCGCTATCTTAGCTTCCGAATGTGACTGACAACTACAAAGGCTACGAGGAGGGTGATCTCCAAGTATGTGGATAATTTGCGCGATCGTCAATTCCTTTTGTGCATGGCACCGCCGAAGACAATGTGCATGTGCAACAGTCGATGGTATTAGCGCGTGCGCTCACCAATAAAGGTGTACTCTATAAACAGCAAATCTATCCCGATGAGGGACATACTTTGGCGGGCGTGAAACGACATCTCTATCGCTCAGTGACGAGTTTCTTCGAGGATTGTTTAAGAAGCTGGTGAGTTTTGTAGTTTCCATAACAATTTAATAATTTTATTTTATTTTAGTTGTAAATATTTTCACTGAACTTTTGCTTTAACAATGATGCGCTTATTTATTTGTATATATATATTACAATATCCCTTGAACTTTTAAACAAATCTCCTCAAAACAAACACACTTTTGTCTAATACTTTTAAATAAAGACTTTTTCCCTTTTCTTGGCACACTCATACTCTACTACAATAACTATATATTGCTAAGATTATCACTATCTTTGTTTATCTATCTATCTTTGTTTTATATTTGTCTCTGTCTTTCACACGTTTGCACTCAAAACCTTATTCTTTTAATTAATTTAATTTTCAACTATTTTATTTTAAATTTTCTGTTTATTTCTAAATTTTGATATTAAAATTTAAAATTTGTTTAATTTATTTCAATATACTCTAAATTAATATTTTGTTTTTTGTTAAAATAAACCTCTACTCACTTTTATTTTTCGATCACAATCGTTTCATAACCTCCAAATCGAATATCCATTGAGCACAACTGAGTAATCAAACAGATTCCGGATTTCTTAGACTTCATAGTCTTTATGTAAACATTTAAACGTGCAATTATGCGAGTGTCTTAATCGCACACACAAACCATAACCGAAAGACACGATTGGTATCGTGTTTGTGAGATTCATTATTTAAGGTATCCGAAATTATTTTAATCAGTGCTGATTGTTTTATATGTAAATGTCTCATATTGTTGTGTTTTGGTGTCAGTTGATGTTTTGTTGTTGTATTTCGAACTACATATAAATGTTTCAATCTGTCTGGCGAGCTAATTTAAGTGCATAGAAATATGTGGTATCTATGTTTTTATATTTTTCAAGCAAGTAAATCTTAATATAGTGATCAAATTAGAGTAGAGAAGTAGAGAGAATTTGTTAGGGTAAAATATTAAGCCTTATTCGTTTGTCCAAACAGTTTCGTCTTCTGTCTTTATTTATTCGTTTCACTCCACCTTTTCACTTTAAAATAAAAACACGGCGTATACAAAAAGGTAGCCGGGCGGAATGTCTCGTACGTCTCTTCGGTTTGATCGCTAACGAAAAAGGAGCCGTTTTTCCTCTGTTTAGCCCTTTGAAGGTTGAGTTGTGTGAGTTGTGTGATGTGATGTGTATGTGGGTGTCTGTGGGGTGTGATGTCTGCGTGGTGTGATGTGTGTGTTAGGGGTGGAGTCTTCTTGTGGATCGTGTTGGTGTGGTGTGTTGGCGCTCAGTGGCGCGTATGGAGGGGAGGCGTAACTCATTTAGCCATCCCGGCCCCTAGGCGAATTTTAGCCTAGCAATCGCTGTAGTTGCTGCAGCGTAGCAACTACACTGCTGAGGCCAGTGGAGCGGCGGTATGTTGGCCTGGGCCTCCGACGCCGCGTTGATGCCTCCTGTCGCCGTGGTCTGGAGGAGGTGGAGCCGCCTGTCTTCGGGGCGATCCTGATGGCTGCTCTGCTGCGATCTACGGTTGGGGCGGTTGTCGCCCGACGGTCCGCTTTGGGGTGCGGTGCAGCATGGTGTGATGCTGTCTATTGCACAGTGTGCACGCGTAAACGACGTACACTCCTGTGTCGTGTGGAGCGTAGCCAAACAGTTTAGGCAGTGCCCGTGCGCTTGGGCAACCTGCTGACGTTGTGGTGGCTGCATGCTTCGGAAAATGCTGCAGTGTTGCAGCCGTGTGTGCGTCGACACAGTGGGCATCGGCTGCGTTGCGGCACGTTGCCGGTGCTGATGAAGGTGGTAGTGGTCGCGCGCCATTACGGGGAGCGGTTGCAGGGACGATTGCCGCTGCGGTTCGTGGTGTTGAGCTGCCCCAGGGCGCGGCACATTCATGGCGGACCTCACAGCTGGCGTCGGTGTTGCTGCCATATCTACTTCCATATTGATCTGTATGAAGAAGTTGGAATGATTATACATTTGTGGCATGTAAATGTATGGCGAATGTGCCACGGTTGTGGCAGGAATGGATCGTCAATTTGATCGATTTGCGGTTAGAATGGTTGGTTTTTAACGGTTTTGTCGTTTGCGGGTTTATTGGTTAGTTATACGACTATTCATTTGCGTCGCGGTAATATCAGCGGATTGTTTGTTATTTGCGTTTTGTCATTAGATACGGTTGGCAGAAAACATAATTTCACGAGCGGTCTTGTCAGCGTTCCGCTTTGAGTACGGAGATCAACTACTCGTATATGACCGTCGGAACCGTAATATAGTTTTCTATGCGGCCAAGCCGCCATTCTGTGGGGTAGACAATCATCGTGTATGATAACAGTCTCCAAGCTGTGGTGCCTTTCTGGAGTTTTCCATCGGTACCTTTATGAAGGTCCTTGATGTATTCTTCTTCCATCGGCAGCTGAAATCATGATGGAAATTTTGATTCTTTCCCATCGATTTAATGGGATAGCGACCCCGCCTGGCTCAGGTAGGCCAGAATGGGTGCTCTTTGAGAAATGCCCTGAGTTAGGGCTGTGAAGTCGGAGGGATCTTGCGAGAGTGTTGTGAGTGGCCGTGAATTGAGAACGGCTTCAATTCGAGTTAATAGGTAGTGAATTCTTCATAATTGAATTTATATTTCCAGCTACTTTTGAAGTGGGATTTGAAGCTTTACAGCTGATTCCATAAACCACCCATATGAGGAGCGCTTGGGGATGAATTGCAATTAATGCCTTGGGCGCGTACTTTTGTACAATTCAGGTGAGACTTGTTTGATAAAGTCCACAAATTGTTTTTCGGTGGCTCTTTGAGCACCGATAAATGTTTACCATTATCGCTCATGATTTTCGATGGAAAGCCGCGTCGACTCGACGAGAGCGGGCAAATGCCGCAAGGAAAGTCCTTCGTCAGATTAGTAAAAGCTCAGTGCATGCTTTTGTCGTAAAACAGACAAAACAGCCACATAGCCTTTCATCAGAGTGGAGACTAACATGGACGCCTTTATTTGAAAAGGCCCAGCAAAGTCGACACCTGTGATGGAGAAAGGCAGAGCGAGTTGCAGCGTTCCGGGAAGTGCTGCATAATCTGTGTTCTAATCTTTTGCTTGTGCGTGTACAGATTTTGCACAAGAAAATGCACTTTTATTTGGGGCTTAAGTCGGGAATGTAAAATTCTGGCGGACCATATGTTGCATGAGGCGATGTTCGGCATGAAGCATTAATATGTGGATATAATTGATGAGTAGTGTGGCAAGTCGAGACTTCTCTGAACAATATGGATGGGTTCGTTATACGTTAGGCTTGAATTGGCAAGCCGACCATTCACACGAAGAAGACCTTTCGTGTCGAGGAATGGGTTTAGAACTAAGAGGGACTTCTCTTGTCAATAGTTTTGATTCTCTCAAAGTGATATATCGCGGCTGAAGTAGCGCTTGCGTAGATGCGATAAGAGCGACCTTTGCTTTTGTAGTCTAGGTGCGTCACTGTATCGCATTGGGAGTGTAATGAAGTTACTCCCTGAAGTTTAATTTTGAGTCGCTCTATGAACTTGAGCATGTAAGCGATTACCCTGAGGCTCGGGAATACGATGAAAATCGTTCGAGGATGTCAGTATCATCCACTGCTGTGTGAAAAGAGTCGATTTTCGACTTTCTGGGCAATTATATTGCGATGGGCGATTGTGGCCAAGAATCGGAGATTCTGTTAACCAACGGCCATTCCACCAGAGGGTGGTGGTGGCAAGATGCAGGGGTTTGCATCCTCTTGTACCTAGATCAGCCGGATTGTCAGCACTGGCTACATGTCGCCACGTGGCTGATCCTACTAGGTCAAGGATTTGAGACGTTCGATTGGAATATACGTCTTCCATGCATGTGGTGGTTTTTCTAACCAGGCGAGTACGATTTCAGAATCGCCACAGATATAGTTTGTATTTTGCCATGTTTAATGCATCGCACCATGGATACTAGTTTGGCTAGTAGTAGCGCTCCACACAGTTCAAGTCGTGGCAGACTTATTGTTTTAACGGAGCTACTTTGCTTTTGCTACTAGTAGTGGCATGTGGTCGCATTGTCGCTTTGTGCGCGAACATATATAGTTGCGCAATATGCCTTTCAGAAGCGTCACAGAAGCCGTGTAGTTCGACTTTGTGCTCTGGGGCATAATTTACCCTCGTGGATTTGTATCTGTGAGATATCATGTAGATTTGCTCGCAAACTGGGACCACTTTCTAAACGCAGTGGTTTTACTTGTTCGTCCAGTCGGTACCATCTAACCATAATTCTGTATTAGATTTTGGCTTGTATCATACTGGCGAAAGCCATCCTGCGGGTCGAAAAGTTTCGCCACAGAGGTAGAATTTGCCGCTTTGTTATGGCAGATAATGCAGATATTGACTCTGTAGTGTATGAAACTGGTCAGATATCGCATTCCATTGATCCCCAGAGTTTTGTTGTACTTTCCTTTCGAATTTAAGAAATTAGTTCTAACAAATTTCATGTGGTATATTTTTAGAATATTAGGGTGGTTCGCCGTTATCTTTTCAACGGAAACCCTGCGGTTTGAGGGCTTGTATCCTTGTGATAGTGAATCGTATGCTGCGGAAGACTGTGACTTCCAGACAAGATATCGTCTACATACGTTTGTGTTTTAACACCTGGGTTGCCAGAGAAATTCTGACTTGGTGTTTCCTGCCAATTCGTGCAGTGTTCGAATGCTAAATATGGAGCACAGTTGACGCCAAAGGTAACTGTTTTAATTTATAGTCGCGGAGTGGACTATTGGGAGATTTTCGGAATAATTCGCTGAAAATCTTGATCGTCTTTATGTACGACTATTTGTCTATACATTTTCGACGTCTCCGTTAAATACGTATTTGAATATACGCCAATTTAATATGAGGAGCATTAAATCTGGTTGAGCGTGGGTCCCGTAAATAGAATATCATTTAGGATTCCCGAGCTGGTGGATCTTGATGCATTAAAGACAACTCTTACTTTAGTTGTTTTTGTCTGGCTTTACTACTGCGTGATGAGGCAAGTA